AGGATTCTTAGGTCATTGAGCAAGCTTTTTGAAGTCAAGGCCCCTGTGACCTTGACCTTTGACCTAGTGACCTCAAAATCAATAGGGGTCATCTACTTATCATGACTAACCTCCATGCCAAATATGACGACTGTAGGTCAAAGGAATCTTAAGTTATTGGGCGGACAAGCTTTTTGAAGTCAAGGCCCCTGTGACCTTGACCTTTGACCTAGTGACCTCAAAATCAATAGGGGTCATCTACTAATCATGACTAACCTCCATGCCAAATATGACGACTCTAGGTCAAAGGAATCTTAAGTTATTGGGCGGACAAGCTTTTTGAAGTCAAGGCCCCTGTGACCTTGACCTTTGACCTAGTGACCTCAAAATCAATAGGGGTCATCTACTAATCATGACTAACCTCCATGCCAAATATGACGACTGTAGGTCAAAGGAATCTTAAGTTATTGGGCGGACAAGCTTTTTGAAGTCAAGGCCCTTGTGACCTTGACCTTTGACCTAGTGACCTCAAAATCAATAGGGGTCATCTACTAATCATGACTAACCTCCATGCCAAATATGAAGACTAAGGGTCAAAGGAATCTTAAGTTATTGGGCGGACAAGAAAAAACCGACGGACGGACAGCCGGACGGACGGACAAGCTGATTCCAGTATACCCCCCTTACAACTTTGTTGTGCGGGGGTATAAAAACCTGCTGATTATAATATGTCTCCTCATACAGACAAAATATACAGAAACTTAAAAACAAAACAGAGCTCTAAAGAAACCCTGTTTGTTATAATTTAAGGATGTACATGTAACATATGCTCTGTGAAAAGATATACCATATATATCACATTTATTGCAATAATGCATTTAACTTCTTTAACCATCTTGGCATGTTCCTATAATACAAATCAAAATTTATAGCAAATTGAAAATTCTGTGCACAGCAATGTCTCATAAAAAGAACATGTTTGATGCAATCTTCTTTTCCTTCATCTTTGACAATTTTAGTAGAAAATGGACGTGTTCCTGTCTTATCGCAAAAACTAGCTGCTTTATTTAACCTTTTTATTGATCTTTAGATTATAATGACTCTACAAAATTTTTAATGAATTGTTCAATTTTGTAACATACATGTAGCTAAAATTCACTCTGGGGAAATTGTAATTTGGAGCAAATACAATCCAAAATTCGATTTCAAAATCGAGCAGCTAGGATTATACTAGATCAACCATATGATGCCCCGTCTGAAGATCTATTCATTTTATTAAACTGGATGAAATTCCCAGACCGAGTCAAATATAAACAAACAATTATGGTATATAAGTCAATTAACAATATTTGCCCAGAGTACTTAAAACAAAAATTTACCTTCAACCATACAATTCACTCTGGAACCCTACGTTCAACAGATTCAAAACTTAACATATACCAACCAAAACCAAAAGTAGAATTTTTTAGGAAAAGTTTTAACTATTCAGGGTAAAAAATCTCAGTGTCTATTCTAGGAATTGAAAAATAGGGGTGATTTTCCCCCCTCTATTTCAAAAAAGGGGGCGATTTTCAAAATCAAAGGGTGCCAATATAAACTGCCAATGTTAAATCGTCTGCATTAAGTTTACACTGAGGCGTTCAACCGATGAAATAATTAAAACGATTATATTTATTTAAGGCAGCAGAAGTTGTCCCCCCTTAATTTTTAAACGAAAACAAATTATAACAGAACTGCCGCGATTGATTATAAAGGGATTGGCAATACAAATAATCGAACTATCTTTTACGTCTAGATCGTAGCCAAGCTAGGAATTGCCTCATTTTTCTTGATTATTTACTACACTAAAATGGCGCCCAACTGTCAAACCTAGCACACTAGTTCCGGTCGATACAGAACATTCCGTTAATTTCCGTCAACTCACGTAACCAGTACCATACGGTACTAAATTATTATAATTAGCTTACAGTTACCTCCCTTCGGTTTTCGGTGTAAATGTAAACAAAACAACCAAAAATAATGCGCGATGGAAGTTTTACGGTTTTATTAACTTTTTTTATAGATGCGCGATTTTCACGCACATGATTTTGAATTGTGCGCCATCTGTTAAATACTAGCGTGAATCGCGCAATCGCGCGTCCTAGAATAGACACTGAAATCTGGAATGAAATACCAATTTATAAGCATACCCTCTGCACAATCACTTCAAAACTTTAAACATAAATACACAGAAAACTGGAAAAAGACAAATCAAATATAAAATTAAAAGAGAAAAACACTGCTCTACAAGTTGAAATATTGTTATAGTTAAAGATTTATTAGTAATTTTGATATGCCTTGTTTCACTGTATATTTTTTGTGCACTTCATATAATTATCATTATTATTTTCCTTTTGCAATATTAAAATAATTATGTTAATGTTTCTGCTTAATATTTTATGTTATTTACAACTGTATGATTGTAAATAAATACATTTTATGAGGCCCACAGGGTAGATTGCCTTTGTTGCAAATGTGTAGCCTCTTTAAATAAAGACTTTATTATTATTTATTATTATCATTATTATTATTACTCTTATTTATTATTATCATTATTATAATTACTAATTCTTTCTTAATTTATTTTCAGCTATATGCTAGATGTAAAGTAATAGAAATGGGTAATCCTGATAAAATACCTAAATCATCCCTCACTAAAGTTGTGGCTGTGGTTGCAGACAGTACTGCTTCTCTGCAACTTGCAATTTGGAATGAGCAAGTAGATGCTAAACAGGTTGGAAAATCATATGAGCCGCCTCACGACAAAACCAACATAATGGGTTTGCGACCAGCATGAATCCAGACCAGCTTGCGCATCCGTGCAGTCTGATGCAATCCATGCAATCCATGCTGTTCACTATCAGTATCTCTACTTGTAATAGGGTTGGTAAGGGAAAAGTATGGGTCCTGATCAGACTGTGTGGATGCGCAGGCTGGTCTGGGTCCATGCTGGTCGCAAACCCATTATGTTGGTTTTGTCATGACACGGCTCATATTTACTTAAGGAAGTGTCTGTCAGACATTTTGACGGTGATGTTACGCTCACCACAACACCACAGACATTGATAACGTTAACAGATGATATAGCTGATTGCGTAACACCACTTGTAATGAAACAATCATTACATGAGATTGATGCAGCAGAAGTGAAAACGACTTCCAACTGTCCATTTTGCAACTGTACTGTGTCATATAATAAGGAAATTCTAACCTTTAAATGCACTGGTTGTAATAAAAATGTAGCCAGACTGGCCCTGTCCTTTGGTTATGATATAGCTAGATTGGTCCAGTATTCTGGTTACCAATTTTGAAATTGCTAAGGCAGATATTGAGGATGCATACAGAGTTATTCCAATGTCTCCTTTAGATTTCAGGAAATTGGGGTTTTCATTTAATAACGTGTATCATTTTGATACAGCATTACCTAATGGAGCTTCTTCCTTAGTCGCTATATTTGGAAAATGTTTAATGTTGTTTACAGTGGATTTTGAAAACCAAATGCAAAGTACAAAAGGTATTGCACATTATAGATGACTTCATTTTTGTGGGTTCTGCTGATATGAGGGAATGAATAAATTCATGTCGTTGGCAAAGGACTTAAATATGCCAATTGAACATGCTAAAACAGTCGCCTTATAGACTGGTTCCCTGCTGTGTACAATACTCTGGAACATGAGGCGGTCAAGAGTAATGCTGATGCTGATGGTCTTTTAGCAAAGGTGAGAAATGTGACATTTGTCTCAGTGTCGGCCTTCTTAAAAAGATGTTTTGTCTGTAGTGTGCAAAGTGTTCAAAGATCTTTCAGAGAGAAAGTGTTGATATAGAGAATATAAATGTCATGATAGAGTCAACAGTTCTAAAATTGAATCAGTTCAAAAATTCAAATGGACTAGAATTAGAGAAGGCATACAATGGTATCAGTGATAATGGAATGTACCCCAATGTGAAATTGACTGACAGAGAACAGTTGAGGATTCAGTTTCAGAATACTACATCTCTATATCTGAACAAACTGACTGAGAACATTGAAAGTAGATTTGATGAAGAGTCAATGAAAAGTTTATAGCTCCTAATCACAGTGTTGCGTCCTAGTTACATCCCTGAAAATGTAACTCGTACTTGGAAAGCCATGGTGAAGCAGATTTCAGAAAACTTTGTGACTTATATGGTGCTAAGTCTGGATATATTGACACTGAAAGAGCTGAAACGAAGATTACTTTCAGGTAAAAGTCACTGTGAAATCTGTGAATATATCACTTGCAGATAATTGCTCTTACATTTTGTGTAATTATAAGAGATTTTTTTTTCTGACTTTGTTACGCTTGCTAGCATTGTTCTTGTATCCCCTGAAACATCTGTTGCCTGTGAATGTGGAACAAACAAGGATTCCCTACTAAGAAAAGGTTCTGATATCAAAGACTGTGGACAAGTTAAAACAAGAGGTAGATGATGGCCCTCTATGCTCACCTGAGATACAGTGCTAGAATAGGTTTATAATGTTAAAGTCAGCAATGACATCAACCTTGGTTCGTCATTTCTTACTAAGGCTGCATAATTTTTTAAATATTTGTCGACGTCTGCTACAAAATACTTAATGAAAAATACTTGAGTTCTTGGAAAAATCACTAAAGAAGAATCACAAAATAAGACATATGTATTTTCCTATACCAGTCTATATATAAACTGAATGACCCCAAGGGCATGACAAAGTCTGAGCCCCAGAGGCATTATTTATATAACTTTTGCACAAGACCACAAGGTGATAATATAGTATCACAAAAATCTTAGCTGTGGGCCTTGATGTTTTCAGAGATTATTTAAGACATTTTCACAAGACAAGTCTCTGTGAACTAAGTGACCCTAGAAACTAAGTGACCCCAGGAACATGACTGACCAATTAAAGTGAACCTGAGGAAGAAATGGAATATGGATAAACAGTTAACAGAGGCAGGAAATCGAAAATCGTCCGGAGTTGACAACAGATAAAGCTAGAAATGTGTTCATGGGACACAGATTTCCCCAACATTCAAATGCAGGGTTTCACTCATCATTTTGGGAACATGACCAGAACCCCAGAATTGGGAATTTTGCATCATTTTAGACAAAATTTAGGAAAACCGGCACTGTATTACATATCAAATAGAACAATAAAATAAAATATTTGGTTCATTCAATTCCTTTTAAATTTCCCTTATAAGCACATTTTAAAATTTGAAAAGCGAAAAACAAAATTTACTATGGCATTGCAGTTAAGATGTCATAAAATGATAACCTTTTTAGTTTTTGTTGTTTTTCCCTTTTAATAGAGAATTTTATCCCTGAAATTGGAAAAAAAACATACAATCTTGGACATGGATCATGACCAAATATTGGTCATAAAAATAAGCCAACAGAAACCCTGCACTATTTTGACTCTGTTCAGACAAACAGCCTGAAAGCTTGACAGACAGACAAGGGTAAAATCTATATACCCCCACCCCTATGTGGGGTATGGCAATTAATATTACATTCTGATGTGGCCTAAGCTCAGATATTTCTAGGGGTAATATGTATATCAAAATCTTATAATTTCTAAATATAACATCTTATCTTGCACCATGTCATTGCTTGTTTATAGGAGTCTTTGTTTCCTTCATCTTCTAGTTGCTGCTGTTGATTTCCTTGAATCTTTTCCTTGCTGAGGGTCACACTTTTTCAGTATCTTTTACTTCTATGGGGTTACAATTTTCTGTCCATGTTAAGGGCGACAAAACCCTGAATTTCACACTAGAGGTTGGTCCATCACTTCCAGCATACAATTACACTTGGATCATTTTCTATGATCTCATCCAATTCTTTATAATTTAAACCTGAATAATAAATACACCAAAGATATACAATTACCCCAAAGGATAACAAAATGTGTCCAAGGAACAACATATGGGCCAAACAACAATATAAATTCAAAGAAAATAAATATAATAACAATATAACTAAAAATATACATCAAATGAATATAATAAACAACAACGTTTTTGACAAACTCACAGGAAACATACAAACTAAAGAATAAACAAAATGGTACAGAAATTCAAAAATATATTGACATGGATCTGGAATAATTTTAATATTTTATCTAATATACTATTTCTAGCATGTTTACCTGATTTACAGCTGATTTCATCAAGACTGTGTGTACCATTAAGCCACTTGGATAAAGATTGAACTTTTGGGGACAATCTTACATCGCTAGGTAGTTTAACCGGATATCCGTGTAAACGTCGGATTATCTTGTTCTTTAGTCCAAACTGTATAAGTTTCCTACATAACAAATATACAAATATGAAATATTGAAATATAACCAATTACATTAACAACACTTCAAATATAAAGAAATAGAAAACTAGAAACTGTTTTTGTTAAACACATATATAACTTGCATTGTAATACAGTTATAAAAGAAAATCAACCTGAGGGTGTAAATGCTGAGTACTATCAAAGGGCAGACAAGAAATAATTTTAGATCGAGAATTATATCCAAGTTTAAATAGGAAAGAATATATATACAGTGTAACTTTCGAATTCCGGAACTTCTGAAATCCGGAAACTTCTAAATACCGAACAATTTTTTCGGTCCCGAATTTTTCCCTTCTATTTTCTATTAATATAATACTTCTGAATTCCTGAACTTCTAAATTCTGAATTCCGGACAATATTTTCGAAAAATTAGAGTCAAATCAATGCAATTTTACCTCCAAAAACCGGAAATATCCAAAGGTGTGAAATACATTGTAAATCGAGAATGTTTACCCTGCAGGAAGATTTAATCTCCCTATCGATTGTTTACTAATTAGCGGTGACCGTGTAATTTGACACGCGTTAAAATCACAAACTGTGAAATGGTATGTTTAAAGTGATGCGGTTAATCAAAGTAATTTACGGCGGTCAGTTAATTTGAAGTGTTTATTAGCGGATTAAATGACAATTAATTGGACAATGTATGTATCAAAAGTCTTTAGGGATTTTATTGCATTTGATGTAATAATTAGTTAACTAGCATCGGACGATATGTAAGTTTATGCAATTAACAACATTTCTACAAACTGATAGAAATTCAGAAGCATTTGCAAGTAAGATAAAAATGTATTCTTTTCATTCACATCTTTATCTTGATTAAAAGACTATTATATATGATATTACAGCAAAAGGCCACTTCTTCCTTGACATTTAGTGATATTAAGTGGCTTAGTCTTGTCCGCATTATCATAAACCTCTGAATTCCGGAAACCTCTGAAATCCAAACTTTTTGACAAGTCCCATGGGTGTTCGGTTTTCGGAAATTACACTGTATATAATCACAGTAAATAATCACAGTCAATTATGCAATACAGAATATTAGGTCCAACTGTGTGAAAATGAAACCTTGCCTGAATACACAGATAGCATAGATGTGTCCATTTTTACCTCTAGCAGCTATGGGATAATTACTTCTCAAACTTTACCATAAATAGAAAGTATTGACCACTTAAAACTTAGTGATAGTGGTAATAATGACTTTACTATGCCTCCTTTAACCTGCTAAATTTCTTAAATGGACATGATAATTTCCATTATAATTTTGGGGAAATCAAGAAGAAAATTTAAGTTGCTCTGCCAAATGTATAGAAACTGGTCAGACTGCAAAGTCTTGCAATCTGACCTTGCTCTACACTGATGACAAAGAGAATACACCCTTCCAGCAGTGTAATGGTTAAGAGCATATAAATGTAATAGAAAACAGTGAAAAACTGTTGAACATTTCAGGGCTCCATGTAAATCTTATGACCTCTTATGTAAATTGTTAATATTTCCAAATTAAAAACAAAACTTGTCCTTAAACATTTAAAATGCAAGCTTAAGCAAAACATGCAAACAAAAGCCTTAAACAATGCTTCATATTTTTTTCTTACATACATATTCAATTGCTTACTATCCTTTAGAGTTTAAAGTAGATCTGTCTCAAGCCTTTAAGTTATAAAACTCTTCTGAGTTCTGTCACAAACCTTAGTATTTTCATTCTGTGCTGGTTTCTAACCAATAAAATATCAGAGATTTGCGTTCCATCAGAACCTTGGTTTGAGAGCTATAAATAAACTAAAACTCGGCCAAAATTCAAAATTAATACGTCACCATTTGAGTCGACAACTTAATACTATTGAAGGACATGAATGGTGACATGTCCAGGGTCCGTACTCTCGGTGCCTGAAAGGGCAGATGGACCTTTATTAATCTTAGAACACACACACACACAGCCAGCTTTGGACAGACTTTCTACTGATAGGTACAGGCTTGTCATTATGTTCTGATAGTGATTGTGACAATCATAAGATGATACTCACTTCTCATCAATTTTGAGGGAATGTATATTAAATCTCAAACACAGATCTTTCACAGTAAGTCCTGGAGCAAGGCTGGTGTATAACAGGAATACATCTCGAAAGTTTGGCTTAACACGAGCTGAAAACATATATTGCATAATTATATACACGATTGTAAATAATATAGTTTGTTTAATATACAGTGTGCATTCTACTCGTTATTAATGGAGTAATACAATAGAAGTTATAACATAATTATTTTATAAAATTAAATTTTTGTGAAAAGATAGTTCCTATGGCTAAATTTAATCAATTTATTTGTGCACTTTTCAATATTTTTTTTTTAAGTTTTTATAAAGAACATCCTTCATTAACATAGTGAAAAAGGCTTATTTTTTTCACTTAATTTGTACCATTTAATAATACTTTTACTCATAACAATTTTTAAATAAAGTTTTCATAAAAAATGTCCTTTAACACAGTGAAAACACGCTATTGTAATTGCTTTTAAAAGCATTCCTTTAACAAAATTCAAACCTATAAAAGTAACAAAATATTATTATTTTTGATTCTATTTTCTGTAAGGTAAAATATCCTATAATTAAACATCTGTCAATTGTAGTCCTTTTGGTGCTAGGGTTTTAAGTCACATCTACAAAGTTAAGTTCAAAGGTCATGTGGCAACTTTCCTGCTTTACTGGTGAAGGAACACCTCAAGTGCCCACATGTGCATTATTCCAGGCAGGAGCAGGCTTATGAGTAGAACCATCAACTTTTTCTTAAGCTAACTTAATAGCTTCCTAATATAATAGAATAGGAAGTACCAAGCGAAATTCAAACTGACAGCTGTGAGGGCCAAGTTAGTGACCTTAACCACACAGCTTTGAAGCCTGATGACCATGTTTCCACTACAAATGAAATTCTTCCACACACACAAATATAAAGATGTTTTATATTTACAAGCCTATTTTCTTTATATTCTGAATGTCCTTCATATAAAATTTAAGTAATTAAAATATGGACCATACTATCATCCAGCAATTTTCTGCAAAAATAGCCACCGACCTACCTATCTCACATATACAGGTAGAACAAGATATGTACATACCTTTAGAAGCAACATATTTCAAGCAGTCTTCCTGTAACTGGGGATCATCTGCTAAATTCTTTATTGTGTTTGTTGTTGTATACATGTTTGAATACTGAAATGACAAATATATCACTAAAATTTGAGACTTGACATTCTGTGTTACAAAATATATCAAGTTTAAATCGGGAGACAGCAAATTTTGTTCAGATCTCTAATTAATACAAGATAAAGAAACCAACTTTTGATGTGTATTACCACCACATAAAACATACCCATACAAAAATGTTTTCATCACAATATATTTAAAGGTACCTTATTTAGAAATGTATACATGGATGGCCATGATTCGTTACCCTAAGCATTTTACAGTGCCAGTTTGATACACTATATTTTCTGATGAACCAAGCATTCTATGTTGAAGAAATTTGGCAGATACACTAAATTTACTTCTATGTTTAAAAATATCCAACCTTTTTCTATCTTAACGAACATTTGTAGAGACTTTCTGACATACACAGTAAGGGCATTGCCTCTAGGACAGGGACAAATTTAGAGCACCTCACAATATATATTTTCAATATAGCAATTTAGTGTTAATTATGTTATTTACTGACTTCATTGAATTATTTTTTCGTGATTCAAAAGGCATTCATAATATTTTAGGTATAACAGAAAGAACCTACCTGAAATATGGAGACTATGGTAATAACATCAATATGCCTGAAAAATATATTTCATAATTTATAACATTTCTTTTAATTATTTTCTCAGGTTAAGCACAAGATTCACAAGAGCATTCCCTCTCAGCTGCAACCAAAATTTTTTGCTCTTGTTGGGTGTTACTCAAAGGTTGTATTGCACATGGTAAAACAGCATTATAATTGTGTCTTTTTGCCCCCACTCTAATACATACGCTGTAGGAGCAGTAGTCCAGTGGCAGGACGCGCGGTTAGGGATCAAGAGGTTCTGGGTTCGAACCCCACCAAGAAATGAGCAAGAAATTTACATGCGATTGCTTCACTTCACCCAGGTGTAAATGGGTACCTGCGAGGGTGGTATAATTCCGTTGCGCCAAAGTGTCAGCTGCACTAAGCAGAGTTAAAAGACTCCCCAGGGAGATTGATAGATAGATACCAGTAGCCCGATGACCAGGGGTAATAGCTGGAAAGTCGGTGAACGTGCGTAATAAATTGTAATGTGACTGACCAGCATCAGGTGAATACATTCTAACCTTGACCTTTTTATGTAGTGGCTTCATGTTGAAACACAACTCTTAACCTTGCTGTTATGATTACTTTTATCAAATTATTTTCAAAACTGAGCCATGCAAAATAAAAATACAGACTGGAAACTTAATCAAATTTTTTATTTTCATAAAAATGAAATAAGATAATGTAGACAACTTACAGTAGATTTTGTAGACATGCTTTGACAAGGTTAATTTCTATGTCAGCCTCGGCCGCTATCTTTGCTACATGATTATAACCATCTATATACTGTAATACCTGCAGTAGAAATAATTGAGCCATGTCACGACAAAACCAACATAATGGGTTTGCAGCCAGCATGGATCCAGACCAGCCTGCGCATCCGCGCAGTCTGATCAGGATCCATGCTGTTTGCTTACAAACCCTATTACAAGTAGAGAAACTGATAGCGAACAGCATGGATCCTGATCAGACTGCGCAGACTGGTCTGGATCCATGCTGGTCGCAAACCCATTATGTTGGTTTTGTCATGACGCGGCTCAAAATATTATAATACTGCATGTTTGTAACGTTCTTTCTCATTGGATAATTGTGAAATTTATTTAATCTATATACACAGCTGCAGTTGATTTAGGAATTCACTTCGTTTTTTTTTTCTCTACTAAAGAAAGTTTGCAATATAATAAATTCATTTTTAAAATTATTGTCAGGTAATATGGCTGTATGTAAATGGTTATTTGAAATATAACCCCTGCCTTGCTGCTCAATGTATATAAACAAACTATTTTATATAGGGCCATATTACCTGTCAAAAATCTTTATAACTAATAATATACTGTAATACCTGCAGCAGAAATATAGGTACATGTAAGATATAATCATCTTATTTCATCTGATTCTCAAGAACTTCAAAGACATACATTCTAACTCATGGCTACCCCACTCTTCAGAATACTGTTTAAAAAGCTCACTCAATGACAAAAAAATTTAATCTTACACAAAAACAGTAATGAGTAACAACTATAAAGACAACTATTAAGATCTTTCAAAGGAAATTTCAAGATTGTCCAAAACAATTCCAAGAAAATTTCAAACTGTCAAAGCTCAAAAAATAGCATTCTTTTCAAGTTATAACTATTACTTCATAGTTTCAAACTCTTCAAAATGCCATATTTTTCCACTCCCACCTTATTGATATTTTTTTAGAATAACTAGAAAACTAAACAATTGACATAGCCTGAATGAACTTACCATGTGTTTAACCTGTGAGTAAAATTCCAGATATTTGTTAAACCTTTATCAAGTTAAAAGTACACCAACATACAAATCACTGTATGAATACATGTAAATAACCTCTGTTTTGACATAGTATGAATCTGGTAACTACCGACTAAAGGTCATTGAATATTTAAATGTCTCAGGGCAATATTACCAAATAATACCTGTTGAGTAGTAAGATCCCATTTTGTATATGTCATTCTTGGTTTGTCGTGTATAAACACAGGTACATCATGGTCTTGTACAGGTTTCGGATCCTCAATGGTAGGTGATAACTTCAGATTTATTGTACAAAACTCATCTGAAAATAGAATCTAGTTATCAACAATTACCTACATAAAGTATATGTAGGGTTACATGAATTGGGGGACGGGGGCATTACAGAATCAGACAAGATTAGTGCCGCGCTAATAAATGCATTAATATCACCACATCAATCCCTTTACCTGCTCGTTTAAAGCAGCAAGCCTCCAGATTCATGCTAACTTTGATGAAAATTAAAAATGTATTTAACAGTTTAATATTGTAAAGTTACCAAAAGAATGCAAATTACACATTATCAATGGCACTTACCACCTACATGTATGTAAATTACTATAAAGAGGTCAAAATATTCAAAAATAGCCCTTACTGTGTTAGTTAAACACAGTAGAAATATAGTTATAAATACTGAAAAATTCAGTCATAACCTTAACATGTAAATTTTTACTAGAATTTGAATCTTTATACCTTTTCTAAAATCTTAGTACATTTTTCTCAAGTTTAATTTTATTGAAATATTTTTCCTCATCTTGGGATGCAGCTTTAAGCGCTTTAAATTAAATGCATACTGTGCTCCTGCATGTGTTTAAAAATGAAAAAAGTTAAGTCTCTAACTGTGCTTGGACACCCGCGCATAACCTAGCTTTCTTAACTAGCTGGATATCTGCCTCACAATAATGACTCTAAAAGTCAATGATGGGACTGAATTTTTAATCAGCAATCTTGTATCTAACAACTTAACTTACTCATAAACTATCTTTAGCAAGAATTCCAATATTGTTTGAGTATTTCAGATACCGATGAAAGAAACATGGTAGTAAATAACAAAACTTACTTATAAACAATCCACAGCTGCCTGTAAAGTTAAGTTTATCACGAATTTCCTGTAAGTAACGTGGAATAGTCTCTTTCTTGACCTCTGTTGACAGAAAACTGCTTTCTAGCTGAAATACATAAACATCATAAATTGTCCGTCTAACATATTCTCCAAGGATATATATATAATGCTATACAGGGCTATCTATTATGATTATCAAGTAATATATAAATATATGATCCTTTATTTTGGCAGGAACACCTATTTCTCCTCCAAGAAGCATTTTAAGGTCTCATTGGCCTCCAGGCATCAAAACAGTAATTAACACACACAAGGGCAGCATTGTCGCAATATACGCCCATTATAGAAGCTTTTGACAGAGATGTGGGCATTATAGATATGCATATAGGAGATATGCTCTGGGCAATATCTGGATATACAATCTTCTCTAGTGATTTTTTTATCTGAACTTTGACCCATATGTGTGACCTTGACCTTAGCCACAGGGACCTAAATTTTGCACGCTACACTGCCTCACAATAGTGAACATTTGTGCCAAGGTAAATTGAAATCCCTCTATGCATGTAGAAGTTTTGCTCCGGACAACATCTTTCAATGAGCTCAACTTGTGACCTTGACCTTTGACCTAGAGGCCTGGTTTATGCGTATGACATGGCTTCTCATAGTAGTGAACATTTCTATGAAGTTTCATTAAAATTTCTCCATGGGTGTAGCTCCGGACAAAAATTGGATTCCGCCCGCCCACCCGCCAGGGGGAGAACTATAATACAACCCGTTTTTCAAAGGGGCGTATAAAAATTGCCAACATAAGGACAGACAGACAACCAGGTGCATAACAATATTGTCAAAAAACCTTTGAAGCTTTAAAAAAACTTCCCAATTTTAGAATTACAACATAATACATGTTAACAAATACCTCAAGCTGTGTAAAATACGATGCTAGTTTTTTTACAACCGGTTCGTATCTGGCCGTCCGTGTGTCTGTATCAAACACAAAGCAGCAGTTAAATATCAATTCATTTCTGTTATATTTCTTGTCTTCTATACATACAGGGCAGCCAACAATCTTCTCACCTAATGCAGTACTAGAAGAAAAACACAGACATACAAAAAATTTTGTATTTTGATACCTTTAAATCCCTTCATCTTTGAATTGACTGCTTGAAATTCAAAGGCAGAAAAATTCATTACACACTACATTGTATCAGCAGAAAATATACAAAGAATCATACATGAATTGATATAGAACTGCCATTTTATATAATTGAGAAACAGTGATATGACGCAACTAACATGAAAATTAATCAAAACTTCATGTAAGATTTTATTCATGAAACAATCAAGCTTTCTGAGTTAATCTATTGAAAAACAAGATAAAAGGTACAAACTACAAAGATATATATCTAAAATCTTACACAGTGATTAATCTTGTCATCAACTGCGGTTTAGTAATGATGAATTTACTGAGTTCATCAAAATGCTCCTTTGTCAGATAGTCCTCCGGAACCTATAACACAATTTGTACATTTGTTCATTTATATACACAAGTACTCTAGAAACAAGAATGTATTTGTTAAACATAAGTGCCCGCCTAAGATTTTTGTCAACAACTATTTTTCAAAAAAGGTTTACCCCATTCACTCAGTTATGGACAGACAAATTGCCAAGAAAATAATGTAAACACAGTGATATAACACTGACAATGTATTTATCTCACTGTCATGAAGCAAATTCTGGGATAAATGTCACCCCACCCCCTTCATTCTAAAGCTGGTTCATTGGACACTTGCCCCCTACCCAGTGGAAATGTATAGATGGACACTCAGCCCCCAGAATTTTGCTAAATGTATATCACCTGCATTTGTCCTCGTATGTTTACTTTAATATATTTAAAGATGCTCCACCATTTTGTCAAGAAAAAAAAGAAAACAAGGATAAAAGTGTCAAAGTTACATGATGCATGATACAAAGTGCATTGTATTGTGCTTATGATTTAATAATAAATAGTTTAAGATAGTTTGTTTGTTTTGATTGGGTTTTACGTCACACCGACACAGTATAGGTCATATGGCGACGTTCCAGCTTTACTGGTGGAGGAAGACCTCAGGTGCCCTTCCGTGCATTATTTCAGGCACGAACGGGCACCTGAGTAGAACCACCTACGTTCCGTAAGCTAGCTGGATAGATTCCTCACATGAAGAATCCAAAGTCCATGTCGGGATTCGAGCCCGCAGCGGTGAGGGAGTTTAAGATAGAACGTTGCTGTTTTTTTTAACTTTTGTATGCTTATGATTTGTTGTTTTATTTGTATGAAAGATGAATTATTAAAAGATTGATATTCGTACTTTCTTTACTGTACAGTAACGAGCATGGCGATTAATCATAAAAATGTAAACACACAAAGACAATTGCTGTTTCTTGGTAAATATCCTCGTTTAAAGACATAAAATAACATATGCATTTTCGACTTTCATATAACTTTGAAAAGTGCCTTATGGCTAGACAATACAGTGTGTCCTGGCTAGCCGTACTTGACTCACTAAATCACTAAAACCGATTAATTCTGTATTTTTTCATCGCATTTTAACAGGTGTTTAAATGATCCAGTTTAATTAATTTACAAATTTGAAAACCTAGCTTAACGCCTTTTTCCGGTACATTCTGTACTAGCTCTGGGGAATTCACCTAATGAAGCGTAATAATGAACTCTATGTTTTTTTGCCTTTTTAAATTAAAGTGTTAAATTAAAGTGAAATAAAAACAGATATTTCCTTTTAAGAAAATAATTAAATATTATTGTATGAATAACTCAATACAAAAAATAAAGTAAATACACAAGTTTACACAGAAAATATCTCTATTCATAATGGAAGATGCCACTACGACTGTTTTAATTTTATTGAATTTCAATATAAACAATTTATTTTTTGAAAAATTTGCAACAAATATTAAAGGAATATTGATAATTTTCAAACATCAATTTTTTTTCACCTAAAATGGTAAAATAATGATAGAAAAATAGAAATTTCATGTAATTGTATTATGTACTTTATTTGGTGTAATTCCCCAGAGCGATAGTTCAGTTGGTTAGACCACTGACTGTCACTCCTGAGGTCCCGGGTTCGATCCTGGGTAACACACTAGGGATTTTTCAGCGACACTTTCAGTGTTTCCCACCTAACAAGATGTGTACTGGTAAGAATCCAGGCAATCCTTGCATGTATCAGTGCTATACACTGATGCGGCATTAAAGTTTTGGATTAGACCTAACCAGAATAACATACCGGTAAGTTAATCTTAACCTTATTTTTCACTTGCAAATACCCTTGTCCCAATCAATTGATGTGCATTTTGCGATAAACAATTATTCTTATATCTTTCTATTCCATTTCAGTATCAAAATATTAATACTGTCATTAAAATTGCCTATTTAACTGTAAAATGACTACAGTCTGCCATGCAAGACATCGTATGACGTCATTCACAGGAACCGATTTAATCATTAGTTGTGTATTATATTTAGAACATCTTTGTTGACATGATTTCAATATTTATAATTCAAGATAATGTTTTTATTTATTATCTTTAAATTTTTTAGTATTTAAAGCTGCACGCCTCCAGATGAGCCAAAATATTTCAAGAAAATCAATATTGAGAAAAATGTACTAAAATTTTAAGAAAGGTAAAACATTCAAGATCCAAGTTATATTTTTCATGTTATGTGCGGTTTAAGACTGATTTTGCAGTATTTTATTACCATATATCTGCTGCGTTACTACTGCAGTAAGGGCTATTTTTGCATATGTTGATGATTTTTTGGTAATTTTCTTGGATTGTAAGTGCCGATTGCAATATGTAAATAACTTTACTTGTTCACCTCACAATATTTTACTTTTAAATACATTTCCAAAATTTTCAAGAAAATTAACATGAATCTGGAGGCGTGCTGCTTTAAATATGATTTTAATAATACAAAAGTCAGTAAATCACCTTTTTTCAATATCTTTAAAAAAGTAATTTATAAAAAAGTTGGAAGCACATGGGTTCCTAAAGGTCAATCTCATAATCACTTGGTCAAACATTTTGAGAATATATCGGCCAAGTGCTGAAATTTTTACCAGTTGGAAACTATTAGGTAGTTTATGTTCCTTATAAGATTTTTATTTGTCCATACTTGGCTTATCAACAGATTATATTATATGTTATTTTTGTTTTGGTGCCATATATGTGGATATATTACCTGTCAAGATTTTATATCACCCTAGCCGTTAGGCGAGGGTGATATTTTATCTTGGTAGGTAATATATCAACATAATATCACTCCAAAACAAAAATAATAATTTTATTACCCTTACCCTGCCGAGTTAAGACGATTTTAAAATAAATCATTGCTACTTCAAATGAAACGTCGAAATAAGATTCCCTTTAGGGTACCCCTCCATCACTACATGACGTCACATTAATACATGACATATTTACTTTCGAACCTAACGAATGTGAACAAGAGAAAAGGAGTAGTCTGTTGAACGCACTTTTTGGAATTAATATCAAGCTTTCCCAAAGTAATATTTGTTTTCAATACTGATGAGAATATGTATGATTACTCTATTTTGGTAAATATTTATCATTTGACAGTTAAAAAGTGCTTGTAAATCGGAATTTACATCGCGTAAAATCATACCGTACGCGCATCGCCACAGCGCATGTTGTTTAGAACGTGGGGTACCCAACGGGGAAATTTAGTGTGTATATTACCCGTCTGGCTCGGTAATATCAATTTCTTTTGTGTGATCAATATCCAATCAAAAAGGCGGAAAAAATCTGGAAGGGTAATAAATAGTTTTATCAAGGTATGCTTTACTTTACTTCATGGCATGTTAGATGAATGAATACCAGCGGGTCAGATTTCTGCCATGATTAATGGTGGACTTTCCCTATGGGTCTGTCTTCAGCGTTCACGTCATGTCACAGTATATAAACTGGTACGCTGAAGACCTTAAGCTATGTATCTCATAGCTTTCTCTAAAGTGACTAGTCTATAGGACTTCATGTCTACGTCACCGCGAGGGGTTTGACTTTAATGATATATAGATAGATAAGATAGATAGATAGGATAGATAGAGGTAAATCGGTAACGTACCGGAAAATGGTGTTTAGCTAGGTTTTCGAAAAGGTCAATTTACCGACCGGTTTTCGAAAAGGTCAATTTACCCATCGTCAATCTGTTTTCTTTGCGACTGCCTACTTATAACTTGATGCAAACATAACTGTATCGAACAATTTTACTACTGCTACTATGTGTATTAATTTATATGCAAGTAAATTTATAAGGTCTGTATAATCTACATCTAAATCTACATTATACTGCTTAACAATCAATTCTGATTATGACTAGCAGGCGCGTTGTCAGGGAACTGTTAATACGTGGAAAGTCCGAGCGGGGCCTTAGGCCCCGCGAGGGCTGTAGCGCTCTTAGATAACATGTATGACGCGTATAAATTCAAATGAAATCAAATTAAAAGTAAATGAAAATTTCAAAAAAATATATCCTATACCTAATGAGCTGTGAAAAAATCCTTTGTTAACTGGGCGCCGCCATTTTGAAATCCTTTTGAGCTAAATATAGATATTAGAGCACTTTTAATGAGTGTCTACATAATTTAGACTATTGCTAGCGTCTGCTATATAACACTTCCGGTGAGAGAATGATGTGCAAAATCAGAAAGTAAACATGCATTTAATTGATAAGAACTATAGTAACCATTATAAATATAAAAAGTTACTTTACATATCCTTTTTGATAAATTAGCAAATTAAAAATAACGTTAAAAACAACAACTGTGATTAGAGATTAACAAAAAATGGCGGACAGGATTTTCCAAACGCCGACACGTGCGCAGTGGTCCCCCTTTACGTTCGGAGATTGTCGGAATATTCCGAGCGCTCCGACGATAGGTTGAACACCACCAATTTATTAGTTTTGTTTACAGTACAAAATACCTGCAAGAATGATCTGGTTTACATGTACAACAAACATGTTATGCTCAAACCATACTTCATAAGAACTTTCCGCGCCATAGGTAGCACCTAATTTCATATTAAAAGAAATTATTTATACGCAAATTAAAAAGTTAAAATAATAAAAGTACTACAAGACTATTAATTTAAAAGACATAGTGTGCAGTTTAGAATTTATAGAATGGGTCGTGCCTCTCAGTAAAGATGTTTAAACTGGGGCTAGACTGAACAGTTAGAGGAAGGCTATTCCAAAGACGTATGCTCCTAGGAAAAAAAGAATTTTGATGATATTGTGTCAGGCTTCGCGAAACTGTTGAAAAATTTGCCTGACATTCGGTCAGACAAACTTTCAATTCTTGTCTGACTGAAAGAACTTTTGTCTGACCGAATTTTTTTCCCAAATATATGTATATGGTATACTGTGCTCCTCTTAGTTCACGGTACTTAACACTTTAAAACAGTAAAGAAGACAAACAATAAACTTACACTACAAAAACTTTCATAAACTGTATCATTTAGTCATTTTTCTGCTATATGACACAAGGAAACAACAATATATTCAATCAAAATAAGTTTTAATTTGTCAGATGTAGACCGTGTGTCGGCCATTTTGAAAACAGTATGTCATCATTTAATCGCGGTAATGGTGTTTTATTTCAGTTTTTCATGTTTCAGTTAAAATTTCTGTATGTTATTTTGCATAATTTTAATTATTAAAAGTATCTTTACATTGTAACTCAAAATTTTTCTTTCAACAAACAAAAACATTTAGAATGATGATTGTTTCAGGCATATGCACAAATTTAATGGACTATTGTTGTTTTTTGCAGAAGTTTGTAAAATGTTGTTCAGTTTTACGTAAAAATCTATAGATTTAAATTATTTTGCACAAAAACTTTGTTGTTAAGGTGTTTGAATAAAATAAGTCAATTCTGACCAATTTTAACACTGGTCACATGAAAATATGCCATTACCGTGAGATAAGTGATGACGCGGAATTAGTGATGTTGAATATAATACCTTTGTGTTTTTTTTAAAGATATAACAACTTTTAAAGATTTGCAACATAATTTTATTCCCTTAAACATTAGTTTATCCAGATTGATGGACTCTTGTCTGGAAATCAAAACATTCATGATCAAAGCGGCCATTTTTCCATTTACCCACAAATTTTCTCGGCGGGCGCCTGGACTCGTATTCCTTTTGTTTCGCCTTTTTTTCTTCATTGGATAGTTTACGATTTTTGCCGGGCGTAATGCCAGCGTAATAATGTAGTTACACCGACATTTTGGTTATTGACAGTCGTATGCATCTAGAATTTGATTGGACACTTATAATGAAGCGGCGAATCAAAACTCGTTTTACATTTTTTTATTCAAGGGAGAAAACTCGGTCTTGATCGGTCTTGGATATATCCTGGTATTCGTACCGGACATAAGGTCCGGAACTCCGAAAAAAAAATATCGAACCGGCCTGATTTTTGCCGGACATGTCCGACGGTCCGGCAACTTTCGCGAAGCCTGTTGTGTCCTTGAGTAGGGTATCAGGTAGATTCTAGTTCAGATTTCTTGTTTGAGTAAGGTGTTGGTGGTCAACAAAAACAATGTTGTTTTGGATTTAACACAAGTAGGTTACAGCACTGATGTTTCGACGCTGTTCAAGAGTTTGCCAATTTAGATCATTTATTATTTTTGAGACACTACAGCAACATTATTTGGTTACGAATTACACGTGGTACGAATATAATTTGTATAAAAATACAATTTTCACACATTTCGCATGACAACCTAAAATTACTTGCTAAAAAGCTATGCAATAACTGCACAAAACATTTACCTACCTGAAACGCTATTTTGGGTCCAGCAGAAGGATGAAATTCGCTAAAAAATATGCATTTTATCTTTCCCGACATTTTGAAGATTGTGTCGCTGTTATGTTAACTAGTCATGATAAAAGCATGGGTAGTAAACCACTATATCATACCCGTGCTTACTACTAACAGCCAAATTATGCCTCAGAAATTCATTTTTTTTTAATTCTTTAGTGTCAAAAACGTGATTATTAATGTTTTAATAATGGATTGATTAAGAGCATGTCGCGTGTTAAAGATCATGTATGGTGTAATTAATTAAGGATGTAACAACCAAAGGGACCAGGGCACAGTGTTGGGATAGTGTAAAAAAGTAATTCTAGAAAAAAAAACTTTATATATAATATATAGACCTTGTCTATAAATTATATATACAATATATATTTTTTTTAAAAATTACTTTTTTACACTATCCCAACACTGTGCTGGGTCCCTGTGGTAACAACATTAAAGTGAAAAAATTTTATTACATGCTTTTCGGTGGTTTATAGAAATATATCAGTGATTTAAAACTGGTAATTTCACTGTTTGAAACAGTGAAATTACCACTTTGATAATTTCACTGTTTTGAATTTAAGCCCCTTACGTTGTTTTAGTGAAATACCAGCGTGCACAGTACTGGGTACCAACTTAATGACGTGACGTCGTAAATGACGTCACGTTGTATTATTACTTGGCGCGCTTTTCATTCATTTTTAGGTTTAATGTCTTTTTAAAACGTTTCTTTGCATATAATAAAAAGAAAATTTGTTTAGTTTAGTGTAAGATCGAAATATATTTCACCTTGTGAACACCAAAAGTTCATATTTCACTCGTGGCTGCGCCACTCGTGAAATAAACCTTTTGGTGCTCACTCGGTGAAATATATTCCTATCTTACACGGAACTTAACAAATATCCTCTATATATTTCTATATAATTATTCTTCTAAAACAATTTCCAAATATCCCAGAATTTGTTAAATATGTACTGCAAATGTTTATAAGCATTATAAGTAATCATTAAAATGTATGCATTCATTTCTTATTGAAATATTGGCTTAGACTTTATCGAAAATAAATTTCTAATTACCTCCCTTAATTTACATGAAATGTAAATTCGGTAATATCTTTACAAATAATGCTTTTTGGAACCACGGATTTATATAACTAGATCTATTATTGTAATATAAATCCGTGTTGGAACTTACAATATTTATAAATCTTCATTTGAGCATCATATTTATTATATAAAACCATAAAAAATTGAGTTACAGGATCTTACTACTGAAGAAAGTAGCGACTAACAGACAGTACTTCGTGTATCGTAAAAAACAAAGTGGTATTTTGACTTCAATACAAAATACTAATTCACTATTATTATACAAACTGCCAAAAGAACAAAAGAAGCAAAAGATAATGCATGTATATGGCAGATAAGTATAAGACATTTTTTGAAAGCTTGAAATAGACTTTACAAGATATACCAGTAAGTCGACCTAAATATTGTTCTTCGTTATTATATATCTGTGCACATTTTTCCACATTAAGTGCACAAATATGACCCAGCAGAAGAGGAAAAAAATCCGAGTAAAATTATGTCGCCGGTTGAATATGATGGTGGTGGTTTTGGTAGTTCACCGGCCTTCAAATCACAGCTGTAAACTTTGAAGTCACCAGAGCGCAGTACATGTACGTTCAGCCACCGCATCGTTCCTTAGTGGAAAAATTCATACCCATAATCACATGAAAAATATATTGTAAGATGATATCTAAGTTCTTAGTTTCAGATCCCCATCATTTTTGATGTCAAATAAAGTAGTTGATATCAGGAAACAATAGTTGTACTAATTTATGATGGAGATCTATTCGCATCTATTTGTGAAGTTTCAACCACATCCGGCCCGGCTTTCACTAACGTCCTCAAACGGAGACAAATCTAAGTTGAGATTTGTCTCAGAAATGTTTCTAAAGTAAAAGCCAAACTGAGAAAAATCTCAATCTTAGTTTCTGAGTTGAGAAAATTCTCAAATTTGAGCTGAGATTTTGACTTTGAGAACGTTAGTGAAAGCCTGACTAAATTCCCCATGCTTTGCAGTCTTAAAATTATACCAGAAGATTTCAAGGATTTAGATGAATAAACAATAGTAACTGTATTGTTTTCTTTATTTCTTTGTCAATGTCAATCACATATGAGTTATTCACAAAGAAGTTCCCTGCGCAGCCCGCTGCCTACGCCTGAGTTCGGCTGCCATACGGTTTGCAGCTTGTTGCAAAACCCTCCGCCGTTGAATGTAGAAAAATAGTTCTATAAACAACCATAATAGTATTAAACCAAGCGTCAAAGTAACGGCGAAGAACAGAAATGATAAACAGATCGAGAATACAATATGAGCTTTCTTCATTTGATGATCTGTTGCGTATGGATCCCCTGTGACCCTTTGGAATTCTCTATCTGCACCAAATGTCAGTATTCCTGTCAAGCCGGTAACCAGGAGAAGAAATATAATAAAACCAAGAAGCGCTGTCCGTTTCCGGTGGGAGAGTGGTTGGAACTGAACCAACTGTTGTCTTAAAGTTTCCAGAGCCTGAAATCATAATCAAATTTACAGTAAAACTTCAAATACTGCACACCTAAGTAGTTCGTGACGTTCACGTTGCACGTGTATTGTTAAAAAAACAACCTAGGTCTACTTTCTTTTTGAAACAACAGTTCGTCGCCCTATTCTAAAAATGGTGTATCTACAAATTCCTCTTTTTTGGGAAAAAGGGGTTAAAGGTTCAAGACTTTGTAACTTTTATATAATAACTCCTTACAGTGTGGACTTCTGGATTGGTATTATAGATGTCAACATGTGATGAAAGCACTTTGTTATATACCTTTATAATTTGCAGTAATAGTAAAAATTAAAAAAAAAATTGGAGATAGACCAAAAATGTTTATTTTTAGATTAAAAAATTACTCTAAAAATGAGTTTGCGGAGATATGACAAAGTAAGGCTAAAATTGTAAATACTTTTGGAGTTAGTATTTTTTAAGAGTAATAATTTTACTATTGAATATTAGTAGATTTTTACATTCTAAAGAACATTTTCAGCCAGAGTGGTTGAACCGCTGACACTGAATCACTTTATCTTCGTAAATTACTATGTCAAAGTGTAAATTCATTCACGTGATCTCCAACTTGGGCCTTTCTCGATAATAACAATATAAAATTGTGCCATAAAAAAAGAAAAGCAAACATTTCACAAAATTTTTAATCAATGAACTTGCTAAAACAAACTGACACATTTTGAACCATTATGAAAAATGAAATGATTGTAACCATCTCTAATATTGTGATTAAATGATACAGATATAAATTATATTACCAATAATTCTTTTTAATTCACACAATTAAAGTCAATACCACATGCATTCAAAGTCTCAAGTATTGTTTGTGGTTTAATATCAACGTATGAAAAAACATCTGCTCAAGTTCTAAACAATCTTTCAAGATTGCAAAATCGTCGTTTTCAAGATTTTACATCCAGTGAATTTTGCGATCTCCCATATTGGTGTTTGTCGCACACATAGATACTGGACATTCCACGAACAGGCTAAATCAAACCGAGCCGGCAACATTTTAGATCATGCCGTATTGTGCTTTAAGAATTCTGCTATTATCTAATAAATATAATCATTGATGACCCGGAGAACACTGAAACTCGCATGCAAACTTAAAATCTATGTTTTGACAAGACAGTGGTATTCCGATCCATTTGGAATGTTAAATATCTATTTATTTTGTGAATATTTTAAGACTTGAAACAATGATTTATCTGAAACTGATGGCAAGTCAAAACTTCCCCACAGACTTGATGTTGTTGATATAAAATTCCATAGTTTTGTGGAAGTTCTGCTAACTGCAGTCACAAGTTCTAAAAGACAACATTTCTGTAAGGACAACGTCTGATAATGTAAGTAAGTCTGACCTGAAATGGACAAAATATTATCATTAACAATTAAACAACAACAATGTTCGATACTCCAAATGGTTCCAAATAGTTCATACGAATATCCGAATATAGTTATCCGAAACTATGTGATTGTGAAACTTTGAGAAATATATATAAAAGAATGATAATACTATGAAACAAATACTAATACAAAATATAAATTCACTTATAAAACGTATAAAAGCTAAAATATATTACTTACATGCTTCAGAAATCATTTTTTAACTGTTACTTTCCTAGTTAGCTGGCTGATTTAGATACGATTGTTGTTGTTATCACTGGAGTTAGAACAATTATATTGTCAGGCCCCTTCAGGTCACATGACATATATTTTTCAACTTGATTGGCTGGCACGAAAGATTAGCCTAAAAGTGTTACATGTGTTGGAGATACGACGAAAAAAGGCTAACAGCAAAGCTTTCCATTGGACATAGAACAAAATACAGACGCTATATCTACAAAAGTATGACGTAAATCTTCACAAGTTTTGTTTTGGAGATAGAACAAACTAATATTAAAATAAATGTGCAGTTATCTCATTTTTGGTAAAAATGGAGTTAGGACATTTTTAGAATAAGGCGACGAGTTGTACGGTATTATAAATTCGTCATGGACACTGACAAGTTATATAACCTTAAATCTTTTCTAAGAATATATTTTTCGCCACTTTCTTCAGGTAACAAACATTTAGTTAACATTCTCTGAAACCATTATTTAAACGTTATAAAATACATGTTTGCCCTTTCTAGAGTCTAAGTAAAAATTTATTTGTTTATCAGGCACAATGTGAAGAGGAAGAAAGTCTAAGGAGAAAATGTATTATTAAGTTCAACTATAAGCTTAACAGAGATATAAAGTTAGATCAGTCATAAATGTCAACGGCTTAATCAGACTTAATCAAACCGAGCCTTTTGACATTTTGGGCAATCTTTAGGGGTTTCGTTTTTTATCCACGTTAGTTTCATCGAACAGTAGTGAATTTACAGTTTTCATGGTAAAGATTATAAATGTTACCTAGGTATTACTATAATTTGATTAAACAGCTTTATTGTTTTGTTGATATTTCTATGAAAAAAATATATCACTGAGGGCAAAAAAAATAAAAAGAATAGAAAAAATACAAACTTCAAGTTGATTGCCGTCAAGTGCATTTGCTGGAGGCGACACACCTCGAAACGTCCCGCAACATATCTCACAGTGGTTCGAGCCTTTGTATCGAACCCACTGAATAAGGCAACTGCGATGCACTTTCGATAGTTGACCTTTACAACTACATCGACTTGTTTCCAACGGCTCTGAAATAAAACAGACAATATAATTATACATAATGATTGTAAATTATAAAAAATATGTACATGAAATGTTCTTTAAAGAAAAAGGAATAAATGACTCGGGCAATGTCGCCGTTTCATGAAATACTTTAAATTATCATTTAGCGTACAACAGCAACAATGATTATAACAACATCGACAACAATAGTAATAATAAGCATAGATGATACTTTATTAGCTAACATTTTTGGGCTTTGCGATGAGTAACAAAAAAATTTGCACGCAAACAAATCGTTTATTTTAAATTTCAAAGACAATCTTTTGAGATTGGACATGCTATGACTACATAAGAAGTTTAAAACATAAAAGTTGGACAAGTTTTTTTTACGAAATTAAACATGTTAATGGGTTGACATTACAATTAAATGCCGGTAGTCACTAACGTCATTGTTAGTATAATAGTGACGGTGACTGCAGAGACAAACTCCGTTCTTGTTTAGCGGACCCCAGAACTAAATGAGTTTGCACGCGTTTTTGTTACTACGCTTTTTAATTTGTTTTTAAGTGTTACTCTGAATTTTAATGTAGTTTTTAATATAAGCATGTAATAAGGCAGGGTTGTGCCAATATGGTATTATCTGGGTTCGCGTCTCTAGGCATATTCTAAAAGTGTCCCCACCCTAGAAAATTACAACAATAAAAACCCGTAAGTTTACCAGATGTTTCTCCATTGTCCTGACAAATTCGGCAACAAGAGGAGCTCGAACTTACGGTAGATTCTGTTGCAGGATCACTTGCTCCGTGGCCTGCTGTAGAGGAACATGGTATTTCCGAGTCAGGCTCATTTGATCTTTTAATTTCCTCTTTCTTGAAAAAAAAATCGTATTATTGTATTGTTCGTCTACGTTTTTCTTTAAGTTTAAAAATAGTTATATTTTTACTTTGTAATATAATGTAAGATGCTTTGACAGTGTTAAACTACAGTGTAAAATATATCTATGATTTTATCTTTAATAGCATGCTCAAAATCTGCCCACCTTAGAATCTTCGGTCTGGATGCTTTCAGATGAACTTTCCTTTTCCGTTATTGCAGTAAATTCTTGAGAATATGCACAGTCCATTTATGCAAATGTGTCTACACATGTCTCAAAATAAACAAGTAATCTTGAACAAAGTCCGCCAAAATTAGTGACGTTAATAACATCCGTTTTACATGACGTCACGACATTTTTGAGGTGAATATGACGCTAAATAAATAATCACGCAACAACTTTACATTTTTAAACAATAAAAATAAATAAAATGATAATACAAAAATCGACCGTATAACTTATTTTTTTATAATTTGTCTTACATCATCTTATTTTATTTTAGATCTGTGTTACATTTTTTCTTTTTTTTTAATTAATTATATATTCCGTAGAGGATAGGCCTATTCAAGTTTCTTCTATGGATACAAGATTTATTTTCATCGAGTGGTATGGAAATAAATATTTCACGAGTCGCAGTAGCTTTCATACCACAAGATGAAAATAGATCCTGTATAAATAGAAGATCAATATATCCTTTGCTCTTTTAACCTTATAAATAGGAAGAATTCCCTTTTAATTTTGTGTATTGGCTGAATCTAGAAGAAAGTCGTCCGGCAAGACACCAGTGAAAAAAACGGAAAATATATTTCACTGCAATGAAAAATAAATTTTTACAGTGAAAATACGGAAAATAAAAAAATCATCAATATTTCATTTATAAGTACATTTGTACATTGTATATAATAAATATCTTTATTTAAGAATAAAACTGACTTAAAATAAAGCTGGTTTAAGGTTTAAGAGCTTCATACAGGATGTCTAAATATTCATAGCTCGCGAATCCAAACCAACTCAATCTCTTTTATGCATACATGCGCGTGTCAATTTTTGTGTTGCGGGACATGTATTTCATGGAAGTTTTATATACGAACGTATGCATAACCCAATATTAGTATTTCCGTGATCGCCGTTCAGCTGGGTATTCGTTTTTTTCTCGTGAAAATGACCCCTCCCCGAACAATAGATATCTAATTTCTCTTTAAAGAGAAATATTTCCTGGGACTAATAATGTATCTTTCTGTCCTATATATCCCAGATAATTTAACACCGCAGGAGCCTACACACTGGTCACATGAAGGCACTACTTACTTTCTATATATATGTAACCCGAAAAGATATGGAAGATGGCATGCCTCATAGGAACCCGTTTATAAGGTCTTGTCCATTCTCCATTTTGATTGGCTGAGGTCAGGCGGTGTAGGCATACGGGTAGAAAATACTAGAAATGGTTAAATCATGATGTCGCCGTTCACAAACGGCGACCTCCCATTGAAATTGAACTATGGCTTTATCATTTGCTGAATATTGTCTGCTATAGAAGAAACTTAATGGGAGAAATACCATTTCGAGTTTTTTTTTTCAAAAATAGTGCATATTTACTAAACAAATATAACTCATATCCGTTAAAACTCACCATTCAAATTCTCTAAAGTAGAATCCAAATACGGGTGTTTTACCGTCATATGTATCACACAAGGAACCCAGCATATTTTTAACCTGTAGCACATTTTAGTGAACCAATATAAGAATAATTCCCCGTGAAAACTTAGTTCGTATTTGTAGTTTATTTTGTTTTTATTTACTTAAATACACGGTTATTGTACAATATAATTATGCAATTTAGAGAATTAAAAGCTCAAGTAATAAAGTTGCCCTGCCTTCAGTTTGCATGATATCCTATCATTTAACTCACAGTTTCTATTTTAAGGAAAGACAATGGGCCAATTTGTCTTTAGTTACAGTTTTTAAAGTTATATTGCTCTTCTTCACGTGATTGTGCTATTTTCTTTATTTGTCGGATAGATTGTTGAATCAAAAGCGGTACAGTATAATGTGCAATGCACGTCAGAATTGTTTTTTCTGAATGACAAACTCTCTGTGTTTATATATAACCGACTTTATGGCATAATTATATATCTAATTTTATGATATACTTGTTAAATGATATATTGAGAATCATTGATGGTTTAAAATGCGTATTTTCGTTTTCCTTATTTTGACTGTGAAAATTTATTTTTTCACTGCAGTGAAACTTATTTTCCGTATTTTCATTTTCTTCTAAATTCTTCCAGTACACAAATTTTAAGGGGAGTCTTTCAAATTGTAATGTCAAAAAAAGAAGAGAAAATGTATATAATAAACAGAAAATTCAAATTTGTTCTATAAATACAGGATTTATTTTCATCGAGTGGTATGAAAATATATATTTCGTGAGTGGCTGTATGACTGTTTTATTTTCATGAAATAATAATACATTTAACGTGTCTAAATTCACCTTTATGTTGCTTTTAATTAATTAGAATTACATATGTGTTTACAAAAGAAATTTGTACGTCACCCGTATAGAACGACAGTCAAGATTTTAAGATTGTAACTGTTATGTATTTAAATTCAAAGTAGGCATAATTTTGAAATCGATTTTTTTCTCTGGAGAAAAGATATATGTATGTGTTCTTTGTAATGTTTCAATCATAGATTTAAAATAAGTTAGATCATTATCATGTATTAAATGTGAATGATTTGTCATAAAGAAGCATAACGTTAACAAAGTGATATTTTGAACTCCATGAAAAAATCAGAATTACTTTGGCCAAAAAGCCAATGATAGTTCAGTTATATGACCGATGAAAGCTGTTTTATTAACTGGAAACGAATACTTATGAAATTATAACAATATCCAAAACAAGAGCTGTCGGTAGAATAGCAACGCTCGACTATTCTTAGTGCTTGATAGTAAAAAAAGCCTTGATAATGTAAAATTTTCTAAGTTAACAAAATGGCAGCATTTTTCTTTAAATCCATGTTACAATTATAGGCCTTGAAGAGAGTCCTATTATGCTCTCAAAGAAGAGTATAAAATTTCAAATTGTTTCAAAGCCAGATGTCAATAGAATATGAAAATATCTGAGGTGGTATGCAAACTTAAATGTAAATTCTAAGTTGAAAAAGGGGCATTATTTTGCCAAATGCTTGATACAGTTACCTCCTCCTGTCTACAGGTTGGGGTCATGATGGTGAACAAGTGTGCAAAGTTTCAAAGCCATATGTCAATGGACTTTGAAAATATTTGAGGTATTACAAAATCTTTAACATATGTGGTTACGCCGACGCAGACGCCGACGCTCGGGTGACTACAATAGCTCATTCTTATCGAAAAGTCGAGCTAAAAAGTAAAAAGCTTAATGAGCAAGCAAACGTTCTCTTGTTGTTTTTTTTTGCATCCAATAAATAAGTGTTGTTATTATTATGCTAAGAAACGATTATTTTTTCCTGCTTTACAAAAGCAAACATGAGTTTTATAATATTTAGATAATCGTTTTAGAGCAAATTATAGGCTTTTAAACCTGAAAAATATAAACAAATATAAAAGCTTTTGAAATAATACAAATAAAAGCATTTCTGAGGCCTCAAAGCATATTTATTCTAAGATTAAAATCAAACGTTAAACATTTTCTCTTCTAGTTAACTTAATATCAGTTTAAAATAAAACAAAATACGAGAAAATGAATATTTGAGCCGCGTCATGACAAAACCAACATGGTTTGTGACCAGCATGGATGCAGACCAGCCTGCGCATCCGCGCAGTCTAAACAGGATCCATGTTGTTCTCTTACCAACTCTATAACAAGTAGAGAAACTGATAACGAACAGCGTGGATCCTGATCAGACTGCGCGGATGCGCAGGCTGGTCTGGATCCATGCTGGTCGCAAACCCATTATGTTGGTTTTGTCATGACGCGGCTCAAATTTTATCGTTATAAAACATCCAAATGTCAGACCTTGAACGATGTTATTGTTTTAAAAAATAAACTCAAGAATAACATTTTACGTAATTCTGTTACAAATTTATCACACTTTAAACCATTTTCTATGTGTATTTATTAATAAAAGATCTTTTAAAATTCTTTATTCAGTGAAATAAATTACGAAAAACCACGTCTTTTAGTGTTAATATTTGAATAAAATAATCATGTTTTTATAATTTGTCTTTACACTTTTTAGACAAATGTATTTAAAACATTCAGTGGAAAGTCTTAAGTCATATTTTAAACAGTTTTAACCCGAACCAAAAGTTATTAGCGTTTGTTTCCAGTAAAAGAGCTAGGCAAGCCAGCACATCCGCGAGTCTGTCCATGCTCTTTACGGTTGGCTTACTAATTCTTCATATGTACAATCTCAAAAATGAGCTTACTAATTCTTCTTATGGACAATCTCAAAAATGAAAGTTGAACGAGTCCAATTAATAAGTTCATCAAATAAAGGGTTAAATATTCTTTTTTATTGTTTCTTATGAGCGTGTAAATTTTATCATTCTGGTGTGGGAATGTGTCTAAAATATATGTTACAAATAACAGAACGGAATTACATATCACATGGATATAATGATCTCTCAAACTCACTTTGCATGTGAGATCTGATTTTGTATTTTGATTACATATCTGTTTTATTTATGCTCGATTCTTACAAATGAAACTGAAAGATTTTATAACAATCAAGTCGCTCTATGACGTCTGGTTCCGGAAAAGGTCACGCGCCTTGAGGTCATTATTTCCTTTTAATGCCGTATGAAATCTCGGTAGGAATCTAGTTAATTACTGTTGATGGTTTTGGTGCGGGGGAGTATGTATGATATATGACCCGTCACTGAATGATTGTCACAAAATTATTATACATCTATTCTTGATACGAAATCCTCTTACTTTAATGTTATTTCTGACTTGATCAAATATCTGTCAAATCTTGCACGAAATCGCGCGGGATATTCCTATTGGGGGTGAACTTAAAGATAAACCAGCGTATTCCAAAAATGGTATCAAAAAATGTTTGGTAATTGCTTACAATGAGGCAGTTCTTGATGTCTGTTTTACCGGAAATGATAATAGTCTGTTTTCGTAGTATGAAGTATGACATCTTTTGTTATGATTGAACAAAGCAATTGCATATTCGTTTAATCGAAATGATGTGGTTATTTGGTGCTATACCTCTCAAGCAATGGTTCGTAGGGTTCCTCTCGGGTTGCCTCTCAAACCGAGGTTCGTGGGTTGCCTCTCGGGCCATGGTTCGTGGGTTGCCTCTCAAGCAAG